AACCTCAAATTCATGGGCTCAAGATATCCTGCTGCCTCACTCTCCCAAGTAGCTGGGACTATAGGTGTATGCCACCATACAAGCTAATTTTTTTATTTTTATTTTTTCTTCCTTTTAGGGCAGAGTCTACTCTGTCACCCTGGGGTTGAGTGCCATGGTGTTGGTGTCCTCATACCTCACAGCAACCTCAAACTCTTGGGCTAAGCAATCTTTCTTCAGCTTCCCAAGTAGCTGAGACTGCAGGTGCCTGCCACTATGCCTGGCCAGTTTTTCTACTTTTTTTAGTAGAGATGGGGTCTTGTTCTCTCTTCGACTGGTCTCGAACTCCTGAGCTCAAACAATCCACCTGCCTCCACCTCCCAGAGTGCTAGGATTACAAGCATGAGCCATCTGCACCTGGCCTTTTTTCCTAAATATTTTTGATCCTTGGTTGGTTGAGTTTGAAGATGTTGAACCCATTGATATAGAGGGCTGACTATACCTTCTGAAATGAGTAAATTAGTGTCTTCTGGGTCTTTACATGGTCATATTATCACTTATGCTGCATCCAGCATGATGGTAGAGAGCAAAACTAACCTTTTCCAAGTATAACTGTGGTGTTGAGTTCTGCTCTGTGACCTTTTACCCCACTCTGGCTTACCAAAGGTCACTTGGCCTTGGCTATAAGGATATATTTGTGAATGAGTGTTGTCTGGTATGTCCCTGCATATACTGGTCTTTTGTCTCTACCTTTTCACCCCCACAGCTGACTTTCTCCCAGTGATTTTCTTTTTTTTGAGAAAGAGTCTCACTGTGTCGCCCTCAGTAGAGTGCTGTGGCATCACAGCTCACAGCAACCTCCAACTCTTGGGCTTAAGTGATTCTCTTGCCTCAGCCTCCCCAGTAGCTGGGACTGCAAGCACCTGCCACAACACCCAGCTATTTTTTGTTGTTGCAGTTGTTGTTTAGCAGGCTCTGGCCAGGTTTGAACCCTCCAGCCTTGGTATATGTGGCCAGCACCCTAACCACTGAGCTATGGGTGCTGAGCCTCTCCCTGTGCTCTTGTTTGAAGTATGATAGTTGAAAAGCTTCTAATGCCACTTGTAAAAGATAAGTCAAGACCTGAAGGGTTGGGACATTTTCTAGGATCTAGTGTGAATATCTGTACTTCTGGCTTTACCCTCTTTCCCCTATTTCATTACTTAGGCTTTATAGGGGTTAGGAACTGATTTTCATAGCTCTTGGACTATGGAACTGATTTTCAAGCTCTTGGACTTGTATGTCTAGTACTAGAGTAAGTGGTTGGGTGATGGGCAGTCTCACTAAAGGCATGTCTCTGTCTCAGCATATTAAAAAACTGGGGAATACTGTGGAATTTGAACTGGGCATTGGGTACACAAGACAAGGAAGAAAACTGAAAACAGAAACCTGTTCATGAGAACAGGAAAAATGATGGATGACCCAGGTTTCCCCTGCCCCACAGGTAGGGGGGCAATTTTAGGACAACTTTTTGGAGATGGGAGACCTGCTGGCCTTTGGATCTTTCCCCAAATCTGCTAACCTGCTAACGCCAAAAAGACTTATTTTCTCTTTCCCTGAGTGAATACAATTGCCAGCTTCTCCTCCATCCCAGTACCACCCCTTGGAACAGGAAGCTGGAGCTAAAATGTTAAACAGCCCTCCCACTCATTCCCCTTTATTTGCAGGTAACTCCTCCCACTGTCTATTCCCTAACTGGGGAAACCTTTGTTGATGAGAAATTCTTCTGGGCCATTTTCAGGCTTTTGTAGGCAACAAGAGGCCCAGAAGCAGGTTCCTTTCTAAACCCTTGCTTTTGCCTAACATCCCCTGGCTGCTGTCCCCACATGACCCAAATAAACAGATGATCATGTGAAGCCAGTAAGGCTGTTTGTTTTAAATAGCAAGCATCTCCACTAAGCTCTGGAGCAGATGGGGTATTGGGGGCAAGGGAGAGGCCAACATTCAAATCTGTGTTCACCCCACTTTTATCTCCTGCTTCCCCAGCTGAAGGAAAAGTTGTCTTCACAATACTGCTTTTCAGAGAGGTGCCTACTTAATGAGATAGAACTGGGGCTTGACAAGAAGAGTAAGAAAAGTTGGGTTTCAGACTCTAGCAGAGACTCCAGGGTTGTACAAGAGCCTCGCCCACCTGAGGAAGGCAGGAATGGAGACTGGATATGGTGTGCAGAATGCTACACTGCTGATCCCAAACAAAACGAGAACTTGGTTAATGGCATTATCTTAGGTTACTATTATGTATATGCTCCTTGACTTATGATGAGCTTAATCAGACATTGCCCTATCCTAAATTGAGGAGACTTCTGAATGCATAATGCTTTTCTAACAACATAAAATTGAAAAAAAAATTTTTTTCCCCTTAAGACAGTCTCACTCTTTTGCCCTGGGTAGAGTGCCACAACATCATAGCTCACAGCAACCTCAAACTCCTGGGCTCAAGCAATCCTCCTGCCTCAGCCTCCCAAGTAGCTGGGGACTATAGACACCCTCTATAACAGGTGGCTAGAGACAGGGTTTCACTCTTGCTCAGGCTGGTATCAAACTCCTGAGCTCAAGCAATCCACCACCTCACCCTCCTAGAGTGCTGGGATTATAGGCATGAGCCACCATGCCCAGCCTGAAAAAAAAATCTTGTATCATTGTAAGTCAGGACCGACCATGCTGTTTAGGATCCCTCCACCCTTGTTCACCTATGTATTGCCTTTAAATTTCTCATTTTCTCTAGCAGCACAGAGTGGGCCAGGCCCAACCATACTGATAGCAAGTGGCAGACACCTTGAAAGCATTATCAGGGACAGCACATATGTAGGCCTCCCAGGACAAGTGCACTCATCCCATGGAGAGGAACCTGGCTGTTGTGTTCTAATCCCCCTTTGCACCAGTTCATCATAAGCATGGTCAGTGGCACCTGGACATTTGTGTGTGTAATGAGCTCTCCATGCTCAGCTCCAGATGCTGGGGTATTAGAAGTGCAAAGATCAGAGCCCCTTAAAAACTGATGTTGGCAAACAACTCCCTTCTTCCCATTCACCGGGATCTATTGTGCAGATTTTCTTTCACTAGGATATACCATGATGCCCTCAAAGGAAAAGAGCAAAACCAGGAAGCGTTCATTTTTGCTTTCTATGCTCCTAGCTCTCTTCCAGTTAGTCCCCCAAATAGAAACCTCCCCCTATGAGGGTGCAGTGTGGATGGAATAGATTGGCAGGATGGCCTCCCTCTCAGCCGCCTCATAGATGTTTGCTTTTTGGCCTTGTGTGGTGGTGAAACCCAGGTTTTGGAGTCCTAAAACCACTGCAATGGATTGCCCCACACCTCTTGGACTGGTTAGCAAAGGCTTCCGGGGCCAGAACTGAGGTTCCTACACCTAGTATTGGGACAGCAGAATTGGACATGCTCCAGGATGCCCCCAATACGCCTTCAGCTGACCCTACCAACTGTGCCAGTAGGGTTAGTGTGATCTCCATTGAAGCAACAAAACAGCAGCGCTGGGTTTCAGGCGAAAGAGATTTTTGTCATCCCAATCACAACGTGTCAAGTGGTAAGACCCTCTTCCAGACTGGGCAGTTTAATATTACCCCCTGCTTTTTTTCTAATTGGGGACCCTACTCTACTACTGGCTTCAAAAAGTCGTCCCTGGGGGTCAGAGATAAATGCTCCTCCCCACAGCGAGATGCAGCTGGAATGGTGAATAACAGTCCTATTTCGATTCTGGGCCTCAGTTTCCTTATCTGTAAACTGAGTAAACTGGGGCGACCTCAAAAGTCTAACTTTCTAACTGTACCGAAGACGACCCTAAAAACTAGCACCACTAAGAAGCCCGCGGGCTCGCCAGCGGGGGGTCCCCGCCTTCTGAGGCAGCGCGGTTAAAACCAGAAACAGCGCTCGTTCCCGCGCCCCGCCTGCTGCCTAGGTCACCCGGCCGCCTAGAGGGCCGGGCTTCCGCCCTCCACGTTGTTGTTCTGGACCTAGGCCACGCCCACTTCGCCTAGGCTGTGGACGCGGTGCCTTAACCGCCCCGGCCTGGGGCCCAGAGCAAAAGGTGGCCTTCGGGGTGGCACAGTCGGAGTCTCCATTCGTATCAGACACGCGTAGACAAAATCAAGAGTTTAGAGGAAGGAAAGAGAAAGATATGTTTTTAGATAGGGAATGGTGAAAAGTAATGGGTAGGCCAGCGCACGACTGTGGGATTTCCCTTTCGGTGTCCCACCCTGTGTTCACCCAGTAGCCCCATCCGCACCCGCGAATGTGATCCTGCAGACACTGGCCCTTTAAACAGAAGGCTGGCGGCGCGGGGTGTCCATGTGGAGCTGCTCCATGCCGTGTTGTCCTGCCCGCCCATTGGCCCGTGGCCCGGTGACGTCGCCTAATAGGATGCGAACGCACTGCGGGGGGAGGAACAGAGACAAAAAGCGGAATCGGATCACTACTCCGCTTCCTTGGCCAATTCTCCCGCTGTCAGCTCCGCCCAGGGGCGGATCCCGGGGGAATTGCGACAACTGGGTGGTTGCGGGATTTAGGTCGCGTGTGGGTGGAGAGCGGACACCCAGGGGTCAGGCCTGTCTTACCATCCTAAAGTTTCCGTCACCTGGAATATGCTTATTTGAGCTATCTTAAGTCTTGAATTTTCCACCCTTCCTTCCAGCCGTACAGATTTTGTTGTGAATGACCAAATATGCAGCCCTTGCTCAACTTGTGGCTTGCAGTCGGGGAGGGGCGAGGTGGGAGAGCGGAAATACAGCGCGCAAACCCAGCACGATCCTCTCCCATCCCCACCCCCACCCAGGCCACGTGTGCGCGCGCCGTCCGTGGTGGGCGGGGCATCTCACGTAGCGCCCCGCCCATCCCTTCAAGAGACGCCACGGCCCTGCGGGCGGGGGCTCCGGTCCGGGCTTTGGCTGCCGCCCCGGTGTAGTAGCGGGGGCGGCGGCCGGGGGCAGCGCGGCTCCTTCCCTTGTTGTGTGTGTCGGTGCCTCCTCGCCATCTTGTTGCAAAGCCCTTTCTTGTCGGCGGGACTCCCGGGGGCCGCGGGGCGGGAGGCATCGGAAGGGACGAAGAGAGGGAGGGGAAGAAGAGAGGCAGTGCCGCCTTTTTTTTTTTGCATCACATTTTTTTTTAAATTGCAAATTTATGTTTTGCAAATATTTTGGGAGACATTGATTTTTCTCCCTGTGCTCCCCCGTTCTTCCCTGTGGAGTGCGCTGCTCTGCCCAGCCCTGTCGCCCCCCGGAGGTGATCCCTCCCTCCTGCCTGCCCGCCAGCCTGACCTGTGCCCGACTTGCGGGCCGCAGCCTCGGCCCCGGCGCGCCCCCGGCAGCTCTCGGCGCGATGAGCATAGAGACGCTACTGGAGGCGGCCCGCTTCCTGGAATGGCAAGCGCAGCAACAACAGAGAGCACGTGGTGAGCGGCCGGGCTGGGCCCCTGGGGCACTGGGGAAGGGGAAGCGAGTGACCCCGGTACCCGAGCCCACGCAAAACCACGGGCAGGACCCCCTCTCAGTTGGCCTGCGAAGCCGGGCAGTACACAGCTCCTAGCAAGAGCCGCCGCCCGGGGAAGAGTTATGTGGGCAGTGAAATTAATTTATGAATTCATTAACATGCAGCAAGGATGCGCGGCTCCTGCGGGCGTCACCCCAGCTTCCTGGCACCCCTGTGCATCTTCCTTGGGGGGCTCCTTTTGAGTGGGCCAGCGGAGCCTTCGGTAGCTCTGAAGATGTGTGAGCCGGAGGGTGGGGTGAGGAATAGTGTTGCGTGGGGGTGGCAGACCCGCGTGTGCGTGCGTGTGTGCACGGGAGATGTGTGATGTGAGGCTCGGGGAGAGGGGATGAGCGGACGTGTACACGGGCGTGTGTATAGCACACGAGTGGGCGTGTGTGTAACGGAGTGGTGGTGGGGATTACTCTACGCCAAGCAGCTCTCCGGCTTCCCTGGCCCCGTGGGGAGGGTGCAGGGGGCGCTCCTGGCAGATCTACGCGCCGCTTGGGGCGGAGGCGGCCTTTGCAGAATGAAATGACATCGCGTGTCTTATGATCCTGGCCAGCCCCGCCTGACCCCGCCTCCCCGAACTGGGCTGGGTCGCGCGCGTCAGGGGTTTGGGTAAGAGCCGGACTAACTGGGTGTCTGCAAAACGGCCCACGGGTCGCTAGGGGCAGCCCCCAGGCCCCCCTTGCTGCGCCCTGCTTTAGCCGGTGTGGAATGTGGCGTGTCTGCGCGTTCCAAACCCGCTCTTGCCTGGAATGTTGCGTGTGCTTGCGTTCCAAGCCTGTTGGTTACACCGGGTGGTGACGTGGACCGGCTCCGCCCCCGACCACGTGCACCGGGGACACTCCCGCTGGGGACGGTGCGGTCCGGCCCCTCCTCGCTGCCTCGCGCACGGCTGGAGGCGGGGCCTGGGCGGGGCTGGCAAGGGGCCTTGGGCCGGGTTGGGCCCTGGGCCCGGCCTCTGGGCATCTCGCTGCGAGAGCTTTTGCCCTGCGAAGGAGGAGCTGAGCTCACCTGTCGGTTGTAGCCTAGATCTCTTGTGCTTGATCCTGAGGCGAGGGAAACCCTCAGAATCTTTGGGCAACTAGACATTTATAGCTCACTTCTTCCCACCAACCCCCAAAACATTCTCACCAGATCCCCCTGGCAAAATCCTGGACCAAACACTAATAAGCCAGGCTGAGAAGGGGTAAACTTTGGACGATCCCTCGACAGAGAGATGACGATACTATCTTCTGTCCCCACGCGCCCTTGATAGTCTGTAGCTTCAGGGTGCTTCAAAAATAGGGACTGGGAGAATAGACCTTTTCCAGACTGCCACGAGGGCCTCAGCCATAGAACGGCATGTGTGCAGTATTTGGGGACTCCTGTTTCCTCCTAGCACCCCCAGATTCCCTTGGCAGGTTTGGTTGTGGTGAAGAGAGAGCTTCGCCCTCCTTTCCTTTCTATCTGCCTATTGTTGCTTCAATGATGAGTCATGCAGGAGGTAGTAGTGTGTGTTGTGTGCGCGCGCGCCGTGTGCCGCCGCGGCGGCGGGCGCGGACGGGGGAGCGGCAACGGGCAAGGGGCGGGGGAAGCTGCGGGTCTGCCGGCCTACTTGGGCCGCCGACTGGCCTCTCAAGGTCAAGTCACTCGCGATATGTGAGACCTGCATGCTTGAGTTTTGCGGAACTGATGGGCAGGGACATCCGTCCACCCTCCCCTCCCCCTTGTTTTCGGGGGTCCGGAACAGGGTCAGGCAATGGACAGTGGTGCGGTGACCGGGAATGTCCTGCCTATGTGCCCAGTGGAGGGTGGAGGCATGCACCAGGTTTGGAGAGACTGAGTCACCTGCTGCCACCATCAACACAATACAGTTCAAGAGTACCTATTGTGTCTTCACTGTGTACCAGGGTTCGCCAGACTGAGGCTGCTTTTGCCCCCAGTGAATGCTCACTTCACGAACCGCTGCTCCCCACCCCTTTTTCTCCCACCTCTTTTCAAATAAGAAAGCCCAGAGGAGGGAGGTGATGTGAAGGAACCTGGGAAGGGTTCTTCCTAAAAGGTTAGGTTAGAGCCTTACTCCTCCCCCCAGGTGGTGAGAACTGGGGGCAGGCCAAGTTTAGCTGCCCAGTCACGTCTTCCTGGCGCTAGGTCAGGGGATCTTAGGGAATGGTGGGTGCTGTAAAGCTAAATCTACTCTGGGTGGCGCCTGTGGCTCAAGGAGTAGGGCGCCGGCCCCACATGCCAGAGGTGGTGGGTTCAAACCCAGCCCCGGCCAAAAACCGCCAAAAAAAAAAAAAAAGCTAAATCTACTCCAGAAACAAATGTACAAATGGCCAGACCTGGTCCCAGCAGTTTAAGCTCCAGAATTCACTTTCTTACCTCTCCTGGGATGAAGAATAGGCGAGAAGGGGATGGCACATGAACCTGCTGACCAGAACCACTTTCCTGGGAAATTTACCTGATGACCAGCCCTGAGCAAGGATTCTCTTCTCAATACCCCTTTCAACCTCAAGGGTGGGTTTCCTCACGTAGACCAGCCAGTTTGCTCACATGATGAACCTGCAGATGTATGTGAATGTGAGAGAAAGACAGGAGGAAAGGGCTGAGCCTCCCTGGTGCTCCGTAGAAGGGCCTGGCCTGATCATGGAGGTGGCTTAGAAGTGACCCCTTTCTGTCTTGATTGGAAGGACTGGTGTGAGTATTCAGAGACTCTTGACCAAGTCTCACCTTGGGCCTGCCTTAAGCCCCAAGCTCACTGTTAGCTCTTAGAAGACAGATTTCCTGGTGCATGTTCAGGCCACACAGGGCCGATTCCTCCAGCCCCAGCCCTGTGTCTGCTAAGCCCTTGGGCCACAGTAGCTTGAGAAGGTTGAAGGGAGCACAGTGCCCATGCTCTTGACTATGGGCTGAAACTATAGCCCCCAGGACACCCCAGAAGGGTCATGCCCAATTCCTTGGGGGCAGCCTCTGGGTGGAGCCCAGGGAAAGTACCAGAGTATGAGTACATGCATGTATGTGAGTGAGGCAAGGATCACACCATGGGTGCAGAAAAACATCCTTTTTGTTTTTTATATTTTACTTTTTTTTCTTTATATTCTGTTAGAACAAAGAACATTCTTTTAAGGAGCCTAAACCCAGATTGCTCCTGAGAGAAACCCTACAACTGTCAGTTTGCTTCCCTGTCTCCAGAGCACAGGGAGGGTCACTGCTGGATGGGGAATGTGTCAGAGCTGAGGGGAAAGGCAGTTAGCTTTAGTGGATTGATTCTGGCTCGGGCACCCTCTTCTTCACTACCAGTCAAGTTTTATTAAGCTGGTCCATGTGTGATAGAGCTTTGCCATTCACCTTGGGTCCTTTCTGGCACCTATGAAATGAACTTGCCTGATTCTGGAAGAGAGAAGAGAAGGTAGGGGAGAGGTGAGCTTTGGAGTTGCTTTAAAATGTGGGGAATGGTTGGTTTGCCTGCATTGTCGGTTCCTAAGTGGCACCTGTCCTTGGATTTGGCCCTGTCTATCCCTTTGCCTGTGGAGAATGGAGCATTTGGCCCCAAGACCAGTGAAAGTTTTGGTCCTGGATCAAAGAAATGGATGTGGGGGCTATGTTGGGCCCTGTGTTCAAGGGCCTTGTCTTGAGGGGAGTGGGAGGATAGGGAAGGGGTCTGGAGATGTCCCAGACTGGGCCTGAGAAGGGTTCTGTAGCTGGAACTCAACAGGTTTCTTAGGCAGTGTGGTTTGTGGGAAGCTGGAGAGCAAAGAGCTGGTTTTCTCCAGGGCTATAACTTAAGCCTGGAAGAGCAAGGCCTGCACCAACCTGGCATCTCCTCTTCCTGAAGGGCTGGGAGATACGGAAGAGGCCCACTGACTGGCCTCGCCTTTGCACTCTGGCTGCTGGGAAACCACTGAGTGCTCCCTCTCAGAACACTTCCCCCTCTGCTTCCTCCTTCCAGTCTGCAGGAGGGAGGGGCTGGGAGCAGGCCTAGTTTACACTCAGGATGTTGATTGGCCAAAGAACCAGGCCTCAGGTTTTCTGGGCCTCTAAGCCAGTAAGACATTTGAGGGGCTGATGCCCTCCTCCTTAGAGGGGGATTTAGCCAACTTCAGTCCCCAGCCCCACCCCGGGCAGTGGCGTGTTTGAGGCGTGTCCACCAGACAGTGCTGTCAGCTCTGTTAGTCAGCAGAGTGGTGAATCCAGGGCTGTCCAGCCAGCTAGCTCCCTGGCCTGGGGGTTGCACACTCTCTGAGGACCAGCCCAGTCCTGAGGCCTAGGAACCCCAATGGTGGGGCCTGGGGGAGGTCAGGGTAGAGGTGGACAGGGGCCTCTGGATCAGCTCTTGAGCAGGCCTCACCTTCCTTCTGGGCTTATAGCAGAAATGCTAAACTGCTGGGGTGCAGGGTTCCCTGGGTCATTGCCTTATTCCACCCCTATTAGGGAGCCCAACTTTCCTCTCTGCCTGCCTCTTACCATCCAATTTTTTGTGCTGTTGATGGTGGTGAGGCGGCCAAGGGCATTTGGGAGAAACAATTTCTAGCATTAGAAGGGACACTAGAAAGGGACCAGGTGAGTTTGCTGAATGGTCTCTGAGGAAAATAAAGGCATTGGGAATCAAGAGCCCTGAGTCAAGCCAGTGCAGTGGCTCAGGTCTGCAATCTTAGCATTCTGGGAGGCCAAGGCCGATAGATCACCTGACCTCAACTGAGTTCGAGACCAGCCTGAGCCAGAGCAAGACAGGGAAACCCCCATCTCTAAAAATAGCCTGGCATTGTGGAGGGTGCCTGTAGTTGCAACTACTTGGGAGGCTGAGGCAAGAGTCGCATAAGCCCAAGAGTTTGAGGTTGCTGTGAGCTGTGACACCATGGCACTCTACCCAAGGTGACAAAATGAGAATCTGTCTCAAAAAAAAAAAAAGTCCTGAGCCATTTCTTCATGTGTGAAATTAAGATGATGTCCTTATCCTATCCTGACTGTGACGTGACCTCTTGTGAGGATCCAGGGAGTATGTGGGGTGTGATGTACATGAGAAGATACCCAGTGAGCATATGTTGGCACAGCAAGTGTCTGGCAGGGCATCCAGCCAGGTGTCAGAGTTGCTGTTTGACCCTCAACAAAACATTTTGCCTCTCTGAGCTAACTTTACCTTATCTGTAAAAAGGAGATACTGTCTGCCATCTAGAAGGTTCTTGGTAAATGTTATTGAAGGCCTTACCCAGAAGGTGGTTGGCGCCTCTTCATTCTCTGTTCTCCATTTGTAGTGGCCTGTGAAGTCTTGGGGACTGGCTTCTATCTACCGCTCTGCCCTCAGCCCTGTTGCTCCTCACCTTCTTTGCTCATGGTGTGCCTGCCACCTTAACTGCAGGTTGCTGGGCTTGCAGCATCCTCTGACAGCTCAGGTTCTGCCACCCACACCCCGGTCCCTCCCCCAGCTTGGACTGTTAGTCTGATACATGTTCTTCTGCTCCCAGTCCCAAGCTGTGAGCTCCCCAGTTCTGCCTTGTCTGTTTACTGCTGTGCCTCCAGCACTTATCCCAGTGCCTAGCTGGATGTGGCTGGGTATTTGTGGTGTCTTAGGCAGGGCAGGGGTGTGTCAGAGGCCAGGCTTGGAGTGCAGGTGAAACCAGAGGCAAGGACCATCAGCCTTGCTGAGACGCCCCTGTGTTCTCTCTGTGTAGAGGAGCAGGAGCGGCTTCGCTTGGAGCGGGAGCGGGAGCAGGAGCAGAAGAAGGCCAGTAGCCTGGCCAGATTGGCACATGCCCTGCCTGTGGAGGAGGCCCGCATTGAGGCACCATCCCTGCCTCTGTCCCCGCTGGGACCCCCACCGGCACCCCCACCACCGCTTGCCACCCCCACCCCACTGACTGTCATTCCTATTCCTGTAGTGACCAACTCTCCTCAACCCCTGCCCCCACCCCCACCACTGCCCCCTGCAGCCCAGCCTCTGCCCCTGGCCCCTCGGCAGCCAGCCCTGGTCAGCACCCCTGGACTCAGCATTAAGGAGCCTGCCCCTCTGCCCACCAGGCCACAGGTGCCCACCCCAGCTCCCCTCCTGCCGGATTCAAAGACCACCATTCCACCCACTGGCAGCCCCAAGCCTTTGCAGCCCCTCCCCACACCCATCCTGACCATAGCACCACACCCTGGAGTCCAGCCTCAGCTGGCCCCCCAGCAGCCACCCCCACCCACGCTTGGGACCCTGAAGTTGGCACCAGCTGAAGAAGTCAAATCCAGTGAACAGAAGAAGAGGCCTGGGGGGTGAGTGAGGTGTGGCAGAGTTGGGACTGGAGGGATGGAGAGTCCACAGGCTGGGCTGTGTGTGCAAGAGAAGTACCCTCCTATGCTAGCCCTTCAGATGCATGTCCTGCTGCCCAAAAGCACATCCTACATTTGGACACATTCTCTCTCACTGTGCCCATCTCTGTCCTGAGAACGAATGGCCATCGCTCTCTGCTATTTTCAGGCTTCTATGTTCTTGGACTCCTCCAAGGCTGAGGCTTATGGTATTTCCAGGCCTCTGGACAGAATATTGGGGGTTGGGGTCAACTGGTGGTTTCTGAGCCCCGGGGGACCTCTGGCTCCCTCATGGTTGGCTGGGTGGGATGGAGGGATATAGGGGTTGTGGCTTAAGAGCATACCCGTTGCCCCCAAGGGTGTGAATGGCACTGCACAGGGCCAACACTTCCTGTTGCTGTGTAAGAGTGTTGGGGACAAAAAGCCTGTGGCAATTTGTGGGGTAGTGGAGAGGTCAGGAAGGCCTCATAATGGGGCCCTCCTCCCTGAGCCTCCTGTCTGTCTGGGTTTCAGGATCGGAACCAGAGAAGTCCACAACAAACTGGAAAAGAACAGGTGTGTGTGTGTGTGACTCGGCTGCCCGCCTGCCCCCGGTACACGCCCCACCCTGGTCCCCCACGCACATGCTGGGCCTACCCTCCCTGTCCCAACACCCTGACGCTGGCTGACGGCCCTTGCTCCCTTTCCCCAGGAGGGCCCATCTGAAGGAATGCTTTGAGACCCTGAAGCGTAACATCCCCAACGTGGATGACAAGAAGACATCGAATTTGAGCGTGCTGCGGACCGCGCTGCGGTACATCCAGGTATGGGGGAGGGAAGCAGCGGCCGGCGGTGGCGGCGCCAGCTTCCTCCCCACTTGGCCGCCCTCCTTCCCTTGCTGCGGCGCGCCCCGCCCCGCCCCGCCGCTCTCCCGGCTCCCCCGCCCGCCTCCACGCGGGCGCTGAGCACATGGCTCGGCTGACGTCAGCGGGGCTCCCTGCCCGGGAGGGGACGGGCGGAAGGGCGCGCGTGCGCAGAGGAGAGTTCGGCGGCGCTTTCCTCCCTATATTCCCCCGCCCGGCCGCTTCGCTGAGCCTCCGCTGTCTGCGCGGCCCCCGCAACTTTGGGGTCTCTCCCTGAGGCTGAGGCCTGGGAGGCGCGCGCTGTAGACTCATTTGGTGTAAAACCCGGTGCCCGGCCCCCGCTTTGCACGTGCTTGTGCAGCTGCGGGTGAGAAAGACGTGGAGCGATTCCGGAGCCCCAACCCACCAGCAGTGCCTGGGCGGGAACCTGTATTCTGTCCCGTCACTCTTCTGTGCTGGGAGGCTGGGCGTGGTCTCTATCCAGACTGCGGTGCGCGCGACGCCCCCCACTTTTACCCCAGAAGGATTAAGGTCCTTTTGGTGCGAGTATTGAGGTGCCACCCCTCGAGTTTGGGGGTTAAATCTGGCAGTTGGGGCAATGCGGTGGGTACCTTGGGGGAGGGTCACCAAACCTTTTTAACAGCCTCGGTTTAAAAAAGAAGGTGGTCCCTTTTTTAAGGGCCACTCCTGGCTGTGTGTCCCCTCCCTTTGGGTACTGGCTTCCTTCTGCAGTGCTGAGGTTGGGGGCTGCCAGATAAGACCGTTGCTATGACGGCCCTGAGTTTCGGTTTCCCTGGAAACCGGCGGTGGGTTCCGCGGGCCGGGAAGAAGGCTGTGGGGGATGGGGCGGGCAGCCACGCTCGGCTGCCGTGGAGACGGGGAGCCGTTGGGGAGTGGGAGGGACTTAGGGCTCCCTGGTGCGTGGGGCGGGGCTGGGTGGGTCTTGGGGGCTCCCTGTTGACCCACTTGTGAAGCGTTGGGGTCTGGGCCGCATCACAGCTCCCCTGGGAGGGGACAACGAGGGGTCTGGCCAGGCGCGGAGGCAGCCGCGGGGCTCCACCCCTCCCCCGGTCTCGACTGCGGGGTCACAGCCCTGAGGTAACCGGAGCCTGACTTGCAGGGGGGTGGAGGCACGGGTTCGCGGCTGCTCCCAGCCGGCGGCTCCCTCCCTGCCTCCTGCGAGCGCGCGCCCTTCCTCGCACCCTCCCGGGCAAGGGGGAGGGGCTGGCACGCCTCCAGGCCGCTTCCCGGCAGCCAGGAGGGGCGGGACTGAGCTCGCGGATTGGTTGGGCTTGACTGGGGGCGTGACTCCTCGGGGTGCGGAGCCAGGTTGCGGCTCGCGAGGAGTGACGCAGCAAAGCCGGGTCCGCGTGGGTGCGCCGGTGTTCTGGAAGGGGCGGGGAGCCGCTGACGACCGGAATGGTCCCACCTGGGAGCGGCAGGGGGGCTCTGGTTTTCCGAGGGTCCCAGGAGGCCATGGAAGGCCAGATGGCTTATTTATGGGTTGTTTCTGCAGAAGTTGGTGTTAGGTATGATTTACTGGTCTTTCAGTCATCCGGCCTCTTAGCAAGTCTCTGCGTACTGTGACATTTCCTATGAATAATCAATTTCCGCTCCTGCTTGGTGATGCTAAAGGGGGAAAAAATAATGCCTTTGCTATAGGAATGTTAGACTGGTTAGTTGAGATTGTTTTCTGTACGTAATTCACAGCAGTCTGTGGTCTTTTTTTTCTTCTTTTAAGACAGTCTCATTTTTGTCACCCTCTGTGGCACCCTCAAACTCTTGGGCTCAAACGATCCTCTTGCCTTGACCTCCCGAGTAGCGGGGACTACAGGCATGCTCCACAACACCCAGACAGCAGTCTTAATAGTGATTATTGAGAAGTAGGAAGAGTGGAATGGCTAGTTCCTCTTTCTAGACACGGAGAGTTATTTATTTGGGGAGGGGCAACGTGCCTAAAGTATGGATTTAAAAGAATTCCCCAAAACTTGGTGGAAGCAGCAGAATGAGCTGCACCTGTGTTAAGTGGGAAGGGAGTGTATCTATAAGGGATACTTGTTCTGGTGCTGGTAGAAGCAGGAACAGAAGAAAATTCTCAAGTTTTCCTATAAACTCTCAGCTTCATTTATTTGTTCAGGGACTTTTAACTTGGCACTGTGTCTGCTTCTGTAACACAATACAGAGCAAAGAAAAAAAGTAGGTTTTTCCTTGGAGGTTTGTTCTTGTGGCAGATTATAAACAAGTAAACATATGGAAGACCATGCCAGGTGGGCATAATAGGGACAGGTGTGGCAGGTATATTCTGGGGAAGTAGGAAAGTTAGTGCTGAGGAAGGGACATTGGAGCTGAGATCTATGGGATAAATCAGGGTGAAGTAGACAAAGTGAGGGAGCAGAGAACCCAGCACAGGCCAAAGTTTCTCCAGTGTGAGGGAGCAGGATGCGTTTTGGGACACAAAAGATAAAGCTGCTTGGTGGTGCACACCTAAGGAGTCACAGCTACTTAGGACATTGAGGCAGGAGGAACACTTGAGCTCAGGAGTTGGACAGCCTGGACAACAATATAGTGAGATCTCATCTCAAAAATACAAACACTTTAATAAAAAGTTGGTCAGGATGGTTGGTTGCCATGCGGAGATGAGGGATAATAGGCACAAGATAAGTGTTGAAAGTCCTGGAGAGGCCAGAGTGACTGACTAGGTAGACTGAAGGCTTTGGTTGTACGCTGAGAACAGGAACCTGTGGGAAGGTGGTAGGCTCCAGTCAGACTCTAGAGAAGCCTGGAAGTGGTGAAAGATCTGAAGAAAGCCACTGTGAAGTGGACAGAGACAGGATGAGAAGTAGACAGGTACTAAACTATCCATCCAGATAGTCAAAGAAGGGAAATGGGTTTAAATGAAGTAATGTGCGGCTCGGCACCCATAGCACAGTGGTTATGGTACCAGTCGCATACACCAAGGCTGGCAGGTTCGAACCCACCCCAGGCCAGCTAAGCAACAATGACAACTGCGACAGAAAAATAGCCAGGTGTTGTGGCGGATGCCTGTAGTCCCAGCTACTTGGGAGGCGGAGGCAAGAGATGGCTTAAGCCAGAGTTGGAGGTTGCTGTGATCTGTGGTGCCACAGCATTCTACCGAGGGCAACATAGTGAGACTGTCTCAAATAAATAAATAAAATGATGTGTACTAAAGTTAGAACCTGGGGAAATTGCAGAGGCCTCTAGGCCTGTAGAAGACCGGACTGAGTGATAAGAGGAAGTTTTTACCTATGACACACCCTGGTCCAAAAGGCTGGCCACCCCAAAAGTGGGTAGAGTTTAGGATGGCCACTTCCAGCAACCATCTTTGAGTGAAGGCTGACTCACCATAGGCCCGTTGTTGATGTGGCCTCATTTTATATCACATCCAGCCTTGGCATCTCAGGGATAGAGCCAGGTGAGAAGCCAACAGGGGTATGCATATGTGTGCATGTAGGAAGAGAGGAGATCTGTTTTACTATCCAACAGGTGAAGAGGTCTTAGGGATATGGCAAAGACTTTTGGCATAGAAGGGAGCTGAGCCATAAGACTCATGCTGACCTTTCCCTTTGGCAAGGGGAAACTGGAGCCCTTTAGATAAGGGAGCAGTGCCACAGTGTGGAAGGGAAGACTCTTAAGAGGCAAAAGATTGCCTCAACTGGAAGAATTGAGAGGGAGATGGCAGTGGGATAAGGGATCTCCCTCCTGATGTTTGCAGTGAAGTGTGCGGCATCAGTGTCGTAGGAGGAAGGCCAACTGGGAACCTTAATGAAGGTCTGACACCTCTCAGGGGATGCTCAGCAAGAGTCAGCGGGTGCTCTTGAGCACCCCAAGAGCCATGTCTCATCAGTTTAGTTATGTATGACTGTAGAAAGTGGGGGAGCAGTAATCCTGGCACTCTAGGAGGCCAGGGGGGAAGGATCCCTTGAGGTCAGGAGTTTGAGACCAGCCTGAGCAAGACCAAGACCCTATCTCTACTAAAAATAGAAATATTAGCCAGGTGTGGTAGTAGGCACCTATAATCCTAGCTACTTAGGAGGTTGAGGCAGGAGGATCACTTGAGCCCAGGAGTTTGAGGTTGTTGTGAGCTAAGCTGATGCCTGGGTACTCTAGCCTGGACAGCAGAATGAGACTCTGTATTTAAAAAAAGGAAAAGAAAAGGGGGATATATATCCTACTTGAGGGATGTTTAGTAGTCTGGGGCGCTGCTAAGGGCTGTGGGCGGGTGGTGGGGAGGAGAGATGGGGCGAAGTGTATAAATAGAGCATTGTTGAGAGGCAGCATATGTGGGCACCCTGAGGGTCTGAGAGGAGGTGCAGAGCTAGCGAGTTCTAGGGAAGAAATAGAGGCAAGCTGTGGGGAGGAGTGGGGTCATAAAATCTAGTGGGTCATACTCCAAGAACGTTGAAGTTAATGAGAAAATTGGTGAATGGTGAGGTAGAGAGAAGCAAGTACTGGATCATTTAGAGTTTGGGGGGAAAGGATTTCAAGGAGGTTGCTTGGGACATTGGTGACTGAGAAGAGGATATGAATGGTGGGGCAGCATTGGGTCAGACCAGGAAAGTGCAGAGGCTGCAGGATGTGAGCCTGGGGCAAAAGGCAGCAAGGCCCCTCAGAACAGTTGTTTTGTGTGTGTGTGTGGGGGACCCATGTTCCCAGAATGCCAAGCCCACTGGGCAGAGGCATAGACCAGGATGCAGGCATGGTCTCCAACAGCCCTGTCAGGCTGAGCCCCTGGTCACTGCAGACTTGTCCCTGCAGTTGTTGATATGTTCGTTGATATGGAGAGATGCTTTGAGGTACTGGTGACCTGGAGGCTGCTGCTCAGAGTGTCTTGCTGTCCTTTACTCTGTCCTCCAGTCCCTAAAGAGGAAGGAGAAGGAATATGAGCATGAGATGGAGCGGCTGGCTCGGGAGAAGATAGCCACACAGCAGCGGCTGGCAGAGCTCAAGCATGAGCTAAGCCAGTGGATGGACGTCCTCGAGATTGATCGCGTGCTCCGGCAGACAGGCCAACCTGAGGATGACCAGGCCTCCACCTCAACTGCCTCTGGTGAGCCCCAGCCCCTGTGCTGGCCATACCACCCTCAAATGCTACACCCTGTACCTCAGATTCCAGCCTCCCTGGCTAGGCTTTTGCCTACTAGACAGGACACCCCCTACCCTAGCCCCATCATATCCCCAGGCACCCATGGGCTTCTGCACCTCCAACCACTTGTTTTCCAAGCTCTTCTGACCTGCTCCCTGCCCCATGTTCCCCAACAGAGGGTGAGGACAACATAGACGAGGATATGGAGGAGGACCGGGCAGGCCTAGGCCCACCTAAGCTGAGCCATCGTCCTCAACCGGAGCTGCTGAAGTCTACCCTGCCACCCCCCAGCACCGCCCCTGTGCCTCTGCCTCCACACCCACACCCACACCCAGTGGCCCTGTCTCCTGCTCACCTCCCTGTGCAGCAGCAGCCGCCACAGCAGAAGACCCCTTTGCCAGCTCCTCCTCCCCCACCAGCTGCCCCTGCCCAGACGCTAGTGCCAGCTCCAGCCCATTTGGTGGCTACGGCTGGGGGTGGCTCTACAGTCATTGCCCACACAGCCACCACCCATGCCTCAGTCATCCAGACTGTGAACCACGTTCTGCAGGGGCCGGGTGGCAAGCACATCGCCCACATTGCCCCCTCGGCCCCCAGCCCTGCTGTGCAGCTGGCACCTGCCACGCCCCCCATTGGCCACATCACAGTGCACCCTGCCACCCTCAACCATGTGGCCCACCTAGGCTCCCAGCTGCCTTTGTACCCACAGCCTGTGGCAGTGAGCCAGCCTGTGGCGGTGAGCCACATTGCCCATACCCTCTCGCACCAGCAAGTAAATGGCACAGCCGGGCTGGGGCCGCCAGCCACTGTCATGGCAAAGCCAGCTGTGGGGGCTCAGGTGGTCCACCACCCCCAGCTGGTAGGCCAGACAGTGCTCAACCCTGTGACCATGGTCACCATGCCCTCCTTCCCAGTCAGCACACTCAAGCTGGCTTGAGGATGAGGCCACTCAGAGGCCCCCAGTTGGGGCAGGGAGGGGGACCTGTACCCCACTGTCCCACCCACCAGCTCCACACATTCCAGCCAGGCCCAGGCCCACCCCCCCCATACCCACCCCCAGGCCTCCTAGGGGAAGGGGGTGTAGAGACTCTGAGCCAGGGGAGGGAGGGGCCACCCCAGGGAGTTGGGCACAGGGCTGGGGGTTACCTGCTGCACTAGGACTTGATAAAATGACTGATGAGAGATACTCTGAACGTGCTGCCTGTCTGGCCTGGTGCCAGCTCCAGTGCTGTTCCTGCTTCCCCACCCTGTCCCCTGAAATCAGCGCGATGTGGATGTTGTGTTCTCCGAATTCTCCCTTCCCTGCCCACCTTCCCATTCTGCTGCTGCTGCTGCTGCTGCTGCTATTGCTATTGCTGTCTGGTGAGGTAGCCAAGCGTCCTAGGCCTCCCCCCGGATTTTCAGTGTTCTCTTTCCAGGCCTTTGGAGGGAAAATAGCATAGGCAGAACTGAAGCCACTTGGCCCAGAAAGCTTGGGACAAGACTGGTGGGGGCCTTCCCCTGAGCACAGATGACAAATCCTAGGAAGAGGCTGGTCTGGAGCCCTACCCAGACAGGTGAGTGCCCTAGCCTGGGGCTCTCTGATGCATTTGCAGTCTCTGTGATTCCTTACAGTAGAAAGTCTTTTTAATGATTCTCTACCAACAATAAACCAAACCCAGGCTGTTACCAAGCTTCCTGAGCACTCCCATCCAGCCCCTGCGCTCTTGACCTCAGGAAGGCAGGCTGGGGGTAGGGAAGGAGGGGCTTGGTTCTGCCCCTGACTCCTGCAGCCTGGGTCTGGACATTTGTTCCTGTCTTTGGGCTTGGCTCTTCATTTCAAGAAGGCAGCAAGGAGAGGTGCTTTGCTCACTCCCCTGCTTCCTTCCTTCTGCTTGGTGCTGTGCATTGCCCCAGGGAGTGGGGGCCCCTTGCAGCTTGGGAACCTGTGGACCAGCATCTGGTCTTGGTTCCAGGAGCCTTAGAAGCTACATTGCTGAGTCCTCAGGAAGTTAAATCCTTCCCCAAACAAGCCCTGGGGACATGCATAAAAAGTGGGGCTAGGGCTGGGCCTTCAGTAACTGTGGAGGAGAGCTGCTCCTGCTCCAGACTCTTCTGCCTGTCATCTCTGTTCCTGAATGTCCCCTTCTCTGGACGGACAGTTTTCAGAGTGCCCTCCCCGAGGTACTGCTGTGTACTACTACCTTTCTCTGAGAAAAGTCCTTAGTTGGGCCAAGGATTGGGCTTAGCCTGGGATGGAGAGTAATAGGGATCCAGTGTTGGGGATGCTGCCCTCCCTGCCTCTGCCTTGGCAGGCTGCTTTGGCTTCTCTTTGTATGTGGTGTTTATTGTAAGTGGCCTTGTGTCAAACACAGTTACATGCACATGTGGCTCCCCACCTGGACACACACCAGTGGGCTTTCAGTGTGGGAGGAGTGACCCTAGGTGTGAAGTTTGCATTGACAAGTGGGGCAGGGTTCTGGACAGGCAAGGGGCCAGAGGGGAGAGTTCAGGATTCTCTGGAATGCCCTGGCAGGCACAGAGGAGCCAGCATAGATCTTGAATATTCTCCCATTCAATTCCAACCTGGTCCTGGAGACCACCAGGGGACTTTCTTATTCTTGTCTGTCTGTACTGGGGGTGGAAAAGGGGCAGCTAGGAACCAGGTTTCTACCCTCAGAGGGCCAGAAGAGGGAGCCCCACAGCCCTGCACAGCATCCCTCTTTGAGCTTGCTGCCTTCCTGCAGCTGCAGCCACCTACACCTAACACCCTGGCTCTTTGGGAGCCAGTTTTGTTCCCATTTGACAACAATAGAAAGAGCAGGAGAGTCCAGGGCAGGCCTGACACACCAGGACAGTCAGAGCAGCTTTGGCAACCTTGCCCCTCCCTCAGTCTGTCCACCTCTCCCTGCATCCTGAGGCCAGTCGCCCCTGGGGCCTGCACAGATACCTCATCATCTACTCACCGCCCCCAGCAGTGGGGCCTCCAAATCTAGTGCCGAATGACTATGTCCAGATTGGTGACGATGGGTGTTGCTGTTGTTTTTGTTGTTTGTGAACGCTGTGATGCTGTGTGCCCAAGTGGGCAGCCACCACCCAGCCCTTCTTTGGGCATCTCCCTCACCCCACCCCTCACCCAGAGCTGTCAGGACTACATCTGTCCTCACCCTGTGGGACCGCCTGCCCCTTCCCTCCCTAGCCCTTCCAGCCTGGGACACACACACACTTCTTACCTCTCATGCGTGTTTGACCTTTTGATGTTCAGAGTGACTCACTGGCTGGGAGTCTTTACCTCGGGGAGAGGGGGTCGTTGGTTCCTTGGGGGAGCCAAAGAAGGGCAGGGAACGCCTGGAGGGTAATTGGGGGATCATCCTAACCCCTGCTCTCCCTGCTCTCTCCAGGAACAGCTTCTCCCCCCATCCCAGGGTCCCACCCCCAACCCCCAAAGAGGTGGCCCTTGTTTACAGTGAGGACTCAGTCACTGTGTCTCTGTTTCCTGAAATATAAACTGTAGCGACCCCAGACTGTAGAGATTTTTATGTGTTTGGATACATCTGCTGTGTGGGAAAAAAAAAAGTTCAAAAACCCTAATTTTGTACATATTGTATTTTTACTATTGAACTGTATTCTAGTGGCTGTTCATGTTCCAAGACTTTAGATATTGAGACATGAATACTATCTATGTAATAAGCACTTGCCTGGAATAAAATATAAACTGAAATAAACCTGCACTGAAACCTGAGATGGAGTTGCTGACCAGCAGCATCTGGGTCATTTTATTGCAAAAGGAGGCAGAGGCCTATAGGGGAAGATAGCCAGCCAGAAGCAGCAAGGGATCACCTGTCCTTAACGATTGGAGGGCATTGTCCTTAAACACCTTGTAGCTGGTCAACTTTAGAAAAAGATCCAGGACCTTCCAGTTCTGATTCTGATCCCTCAAAGAGCTGTAAAAATTTCAGTTCTGGTCTTAATGCTTTTGCAAAGCTTTGTATTTCCTCAAACCATTTTTACAAACATTATCTAATTTCATCTTTCAACAGCCCAGTGAAGTAAATAAGCCAAGAAGTAGCCCTGTTTTGGCAGATAAGGAAACAGGTTTGAGGTGGCCAGGTGACTTGTCACATAGCTTCCTTGGGACCTTGCTGGAGTTACAGTCAGATCTCTCAAGTCAGTACAGAGTTCCCTTAGCATTTGCTACCTTTCCCCTGAGCCACTCTTAGCAATAATGATCCATTATAAAAATGGTAGAGGGCCGCCAAGCATGACAGTATGTGCCTATAGTTATAGCTATTCAGGAGGATTGCTTGAAGAGTTCAAGACCAGCTTTAGCAATACAGCAAGATCTTGTCTCAAGAAAGACAAAACCAAAAACCCCACAATAGAAAAAAGGTAGAGAGAATTGCCCCAGCAACTGGACGTAGGACGAGAGGCTTCCTAAAGAAGACACTTCTGGGGTTGTAGTCACAACAGGTCACTCACAGAGTTCATAAAGCTGTCCTTCAGAGAAAGGAACTAGAAGGGGAAGATGTTGGAGATCAGAAGCCAAAGATTACTGAAAGCCACAATGTCAGTGTTCTCCGCTCTGCATAGGCCTTCAAGGCCCTTGTCCTGTAGCTGCATCTCTCCCCAGGGTCCAGATGAAACCAGCCTTTTGGCAGCTGACTTGAGTCGAAGCAAGAGGAGTGAGGTGGACATACATTAGCTGGGTGAGCTGTAAACCAGGCTGCCTGGTCTTACATCTACTCCCTGTTAGCACCTGACTTTCAATCTCAGTAGGAGGAACTGACTCTACCCCATTCTAGGGTTGGTGGAGGGAGGGGTACTCCTGATGAAGTGAGTGGTGGCCACAAATGTCTTAGGGTTGTGTTCTCAGAAGAAGGGCTCACCTCAAGGAAGTTCAGACCCAGTCCTCCCTGCTGCCCCACCATAGCAGCAGTTCTTTGACTTGTGAGAAGTGGGCTCCCTCTGCTGGTAGTTCAGGGAAGAGCTGGGTCATTTCCCCTGGCCTCCAACTGCCACTTTAGGGAAAGGGGTTACATTAGGTGTTACCCTTCCTGAGTGCTCACTCAATGCCAAGCACTATTCTCAGCACTGGAGACAGATGAAGACCCTGCCCTGGCAGGAGTGACTCAGTTGTTAAATCTTAAACATAGGCAGAAGCTGTGCTCAAAAGACAATTCCCCCCATCTCAGCTGGAGCTTATAAGAGGATTTGTGGTCAGAGAAATGGGGGGAAAAAAATCAAAAGTATGAATACAGTTGCCTCCACACCAGTTTCTACTCTATCAAAGAAAATGACATGAGGCTTGGCACCCATAGCTCAGTGAGTAGGGTGCCAGCCACATACACCAAGGCTGGCAGGTTCGAACCTGGCCCAGGCCTGCTGAACAACGACTCTAAACAAAAAAATAGCCAGGTATTGTGGCAGGCACTTGTAGTCCCAGCTGCTCAAGAGGCTGAGCCAAGAGAATTGCTTAAGACCAAAGAATTTGGCTCGGCGCCTATAGCTCAACGGGCTAAGGCGCCAGCCACGTACACCTAAGGTGGCGGGTTCG